TTCTCTGCAAGTCATTAGAAATCCGAACAGAATCAGCCCGATTCATGCAACTGTCTGCTATTCACATTTGTTTCAGGATTCAACCTTTTTTGTTATTTCATGAATGATGTAAAAATGTCTGTAAAATAATTATGGAGATTTATTTAGCTTGGAGATTGTAATGGCCCTCACTTTTGTCTGACAGTGACTTTATGATCTTGTGCAGAAGCAATATAGGATGCTGTTCTCTTCTGTGCCTCAGTTCGCATTCATTTCTTTTTGATAAGTGAATGAGATTTAATACTATAATAACTATTTTCAGGGTAATTCACAATTATTGGAGGACTAATCCTAATTTTCTATGCCTGCCTTGAGAGCAAAGACAGCTCTCACATCGCGACTCTCCCAGTATTTTCTTCCTGGACCACTGCAGCAGCCTTGATGCTTCACTTTTGCTCTATTCATACCCTTACCTGTGGAGCGTTTTCCCATATGTGGCAGTCAAGTTGCCATCTTCTTCTTAATAAAATCCCTCTTAAAAAGTGACTTTTCCTCTCTGGTTCACAATAAGCTTTCTTTTATTTAAATCTGTTTTTTCTTTTCTGCAATCTCCCCAGTGTGGAAGGTTTCTTTTATATTTTTCCTAGACTGAAATGTACATGATACACTTAAAGAATAGAGGGCTGGATCCCAACTGATATAATTTACACTTTTCTAAGATGCTATTCAATGTGAATTTTGAGCACATCACTGAGGTATTTTGAATCAGTATTGTATATTTGCTTTTTTTTTTCTTTTATCTATGCTGTCAAAAAATATATGGGCTTTGTGTCTGAAGAGTATAGTTGTTGGTTCTTTTATGAAGGTTCACCATTCTCATATATTCCTCAAGCATACATGAATGTACTTAATTTCATAATCAATACCAGAGATGGGAGGTTCCCAGGAAGCTTATCTTTGAAACTGTTAGTTATGTTGTCTGCTTCTTTTCAGGACAACCAAAGGAAAAATTGAACGCCCCTTTGTTTAGCTAGAACATATGAAACACTAGCATGGAGATGAGTAACAAAACACCATTTGCAAAAAGGTGGACGAAATGCAAGTGCAGGAAATGGTATTTTGGATTCTTACCTTTGAGTAAGCAATGTCTGTTCCAGAAACAGAAATCCAGGAAGGAGCTTAGAAAAATCTCTGCACAACTGGACAGAGCCTTGAGCAACCTGCTCCAGCTGACCCTGCTTTGAGCAAGGTTGTTGGACTAGATGGTCCCTAGGCATCCTTTCCACAGCCATTCTGAGACTGTATGAAATAACCTAAACATATTTAACAAAGTCAAATAATGGATAATCGGAGAGAGGATAGAAGAAGAACATGCAAGGGAGAGATGTGTTTTAAGATCAGACTTGAAAACAGAGAAAGCAGAAGTGAGATGAAAGTGTTCAGGAAAACTCTTCCAGGCAGCAGGATTTGTAGAGAAGGCTCTCTGTGAAAAATAACAGTAATACAACTACTCACTTTCACAGTCTATCTTTGTTAAAGGCCCGAAAATGGAGTTAGACCATATCTCTGTGGTTAAGAATTTTCTCCATCTAAAGAAAATGAATGTCAGAAATTGTATCAGGTCTAAAGCTGAGTTCCCGGCTCTCAGCCCTGCACTACAGACTGTGCTGCTTTTGCCTCTAGGCATATCCTGGTTAGAGTAAGGTAAGGCCACTGCGTGCAACGTGCTGGGGATTTTTCACCACCCTCTTTCAGTATCCAAAAAATTGCTGTGACTGGAACAGTAAGTAGCTGCAATATCGTTAGCTCAGCTGGTTGGCATCAAATTAGAGGAAGAATGGGCCACACTTTTTGTCCTCTATTTTTAAAAATAAAAGGAAGAGTTATTATAAACAAACCCTTGCCTGCAGGCATTCTTTTCCTATTTGTTTGTGCAATGTCACGAAAATCCTTCATTATAAAGATGATTTTGCTTTCAGGAAGCTATAAAACATTTTAGTTTGCCAAAAGTTTTGCTTTGTAGAAAACAACACATCAGGGCTTAGTAAATTTATTTCTTTTATAAGCATTGTGCTGAAAGGAAAAACCAGCAAAAAATAAATAGGGCAAAAAGGGAAGTGATAGGGAGGAGAGAGATAAATCTGAAGGGATGTATAGCCGCTGGCTACTGAACCTTCAGCTGCATCCTGCCCCTGTGTGTTTTTAAAGACTTGGTTTATTCCATTGAAAACTTTTTTCTCCTCCCTCTGCCACCTCCACCTGGGTCACTTCATCATTAACAAACTGTTAGGTGCATCTTGTGAGGCTTGAGTGCATCTGGATGGAATTATTTGTGGGTTTGCTTTTTGTGAGGGAAATTTGACAGGAAGAATAGGCCTGTTTGCATGTGGTTTGGGAAGTTGCTTGTGATCGGTTCACCTGATGGCATGCAGGAAGCAACGCCTATTTTTGTATGGGTGTATTCAACCACCTGATTCAAAAGTCTTTCACTGCTCTGATGGATATTATTTATTTGTCTCCTATAGGATTTATTTTCCATTTTATCATAGAAAGCTCTTTTTATGTCACTAGTTAAAAATGACTTTCAAGTAACACTCATTTTACGTGAGAACAACTTTTAGAGATTAAATTGCCCTGTCTTGGAAAAGAAACAGTACAATGTAACTTAAGCTGCATATTAAGCACTTAATCTGTCTAACTATCTGTCTATAGCAATCAACATTTATAGTTATACAAGCAATGAGTAGTTCATGAGTGAACTGAAATATATTCACAGAGAATATTTGAACAATTCTGGATAGCAAATGAATTAACAAATAACTACTTTCAAAATGGAAAATTAGGTTTATTACTCACATGTGCACATAGAGTGTAATTGGCTAAAAACCTTTCCATAAGTCAGTCTTTGCTGTCATTTTTACAGAATCAGAGTTCACTGTGAGAGTTCTGTATATAAGTGTTGGTTTCAGCAGATTTCCCCGCTTCCAAATATGTAGGAGACAAAAGGTGCTAACATTTTAAAAATGCTTTAATTTTAATTGTGTGATCCAGGAAGTTCTGCTTTGGCATTGTAAACATTTTGCAGTTGAAATTTTAGTTAAGACAGACATAAAAAAATGTTGAAGGGATGAAATAAAACCAAAAACAATCAAAAGACAGTACTTCTTTTTAATTTTTTTTCTTTTTTTCTTTAATTTGTCAGTTAACAAAAGCTTTTGAGATGTAGAGTGCTGGGCTGTTTGATCTTCTAAGAACTCATATTATTGTGGTGTAGGAAAACAGCCGTGTGGAGTATGACATGGAGGAAGGCAGTGAGCACTCACCAGGGAGGACATGGGGATATCTGGCTTTTTATAAAGCGTGGCTGCATCAGCTGCTAGCTGGGAGAGGTCATGATAATGAAGGGAGTTTGGCCCCATGTGGTAGGGATCTTTAAAAATTCCCTTTTCTCAAAATGTCCACCATTAGGGATGCATTCAGGTTCACGTCATTCAGACTAGGACATTTCCACTGTTTTCAGTGCTTTTAAGCCATTAGAAAATTTGGCCCCCAAATGTATTCTCTTTTTCCAAGGAATCAAAGATCTAATGTCAGAATCTGAGACATAAATCCAGGCAGATCTTTAAGGTCCCTTCCAACCCTAACGATTCTATGATACTATGATATGAACTCTCATGTTTTGAACCAGCCTAGGAAACAAAAGGCACTAAAACAAACAAAAAACCCTTCATCCCATCCATGCTTATTAGTTTTCACAGGTAAAAATGAGGTAAGTAAGTTTCTTAAAAAAAAACCAAAAGCCAACAATAAACAACCCAAAAGACAGCAATTTGTATGTGACTGAGGTTTTTACTCTGTTGCAGAAAATCTTCCCCATACCTCCAGTAGTGGTTCTTTTTGTTCTGCTGAGGAAATTTTCATTTTAAGAACAGAAGAAACTGCTGTGATCTTATGCTGGGACTTCTTAGGAACACAGACTGTGTAGGGCTTCTCTGTTAGCAATTCTTGCTTTATTTCTTTGTGATTTTATTGAGTCAAACATCTGAGTGAGTGAAGATTTTAATTCTACCTAACACAGCCTGATTATGATGCTGTTCAGTATCCATACATGGAAAAAAATTTTCCCTCCACAGTTTTTGCAGCATTAGATGCAACATTTGCATTGAAAGCTTTTCACTGACTCTCCAGAGAAACGGCTGCCTTTAAAATGAAAACAAAAGTGACTGTGGTGTCACAGCCGTAATGTGTATGTTCTTCTTTGATCCCAAATCAGTCTAATTTTCGTCACCCTTAAAGTTTTTGTATTAATACAATTAAATATTAAAACAATAATAGTTTTGCTTATATTGATATGTAGCCCGTTGCATAGGCTAGATAAAATCTTTAGAAGAGGGGACAAAAGGTGCAGGAGTTCAAATTGAGTTAGGGCTGAGCAATCCTGCACATGGATGCATTCCCTCATTTTTCACAAGTCCCTATGCATTTTGTAGGTTGGCACCCGGGAAGAAAATTAGAAAGGGTCTGTCTGTGCATACCCTGGTATTTTTTCAATCTCACTGCTACTGGTTGCTGTAGGGAACAGAGCTGGCTGTTCAGAATGGCTGAACAAACTTTTGGACTGAGCCAGGCTAGCAGTTCAGGATGTGAAATAACTGTTTCATTATTGTTATTGTTGTTGTTGTTATATCGTTATCAGTTATTTTCAGCATGACATACTATTCCAGCATGAATGCCATTTGAATAGAAGATGTTACATATGCAAGTGTGATTTTTTTTTTTTAGAGCTGGCTGTTCAGAATGGCTGAACAAACTTTTGGACTGAGCCAGGCTAGCAGTTCAGGATGTGAAATAACTGTTTCATTATTGTTATTGTTGTTGTTGTTATATCGTTATCAGTTATTTTCAGCATGACATACTATTCCAGCATGAATGCCATTTGAATAGAAGATGTTACATATGCAAGTGTGATTTTTTTTTTTTTTTTGGATCCGAGTTCAGGATAAAGTACTTCAGCTCGTTTCATGCCGCTCTTCTATACTCCTATCGATTTAGTAGACATCAGTGTCGAAATGGCTGGACTGAAGTTTCTGAATCCTTTTGGCCTTGCCAGTGCAACCCCCACTACTAGTTCTTCAATGATCCGAAGAGCTTTTGAAGCTGGATGGGGCTTTGCTGTCACTAAAACATTCTCCCTGGATAAGGTAAGGAAATATTTTAAGGTATATTTAGCATGTAAGTATTTGTGTATTTGAAAAATCTGAATCTTTGGGGAATGACACTAGTAAATCTAGCTATGATAAAGGTATCAGGGAAGGGTATGATACATTGTGTAGGTCAACTAGTCTAGTAGATTCCAACAGTGCAGTGTGAATGTGACACAATTTCGAGTTTTGTTTGCTGTTACACTCTTCCCTTTTATTCTCCCACCTTTTAATATTAGCCAACTAGTAATGGTAATAGTCTTTTTTTAAAAAATATTGCAGTGAAAATGTTTTCTGTGAGGGATCAGAATGCAAAGGGAATGAGTAACAGCTTTGTCAAGCAACTCATGAAAGACGGCTTCTGTGCCAAGGACTGCAAATAAACCACGAAAATTGAGTTGCAGTTGCAATGTGATAATGTGGGCGTAAACTTGAGGCTGAGTGGATAGTGGAAGAGGAAGATGGAGGCAACATAAAACAAGCCTATGGAGGGAAGAGTATTGTAGGTTTGTAGTGCAGTGACATAAACCTTCAGTAACATACGATGGAAGAGGAAGGAGTTAGAAATAAGTCTTGAAGGCTCTGGCTCAGTGTGGCACCTAAAATGAAGCATTTTGTTTAGATTTAAAGTGTGTAATTGCTTGTTTGACCTGAGAATTGCATTCAGGATGGATTTCCTGTTACTACATTCAAAATCGTGTGGATGTATGTATAGTTTGACTTGTGCAGAGAGGAAAGGGTGAAAGGTAAATCCTTGGGCATAGGCATGAGTAACAGGGTGAATAATGGTAATGTGTTCTCAACCAGTGACAAACAATAGCATGGGCTGAAGAGAGCTTTTGACATGAATTGGAAACAAGGAGCTTTTATTCTTGGTTCAGAGATGAGATGTAAAAGTGTACTAACAGATGGAGACCTTACTGGGGAGAAAAGGTAGATTTGTTACTCTACCACCTCTACATGGGTAGGTACTCTAAGTGAGTTAACTGTAGAGGGTAGCCCTCTAATAGGAGGAAGGTCTAAAGACAAAGCGCTGTATTACTACAGCATACTGCAAAATATGTCAGATTGGCTTCTGCTGTCACTTACTCCTGAAGTAGCCCTAAGGAAGTAAGTGTTCCTCTGGATTGCAATGGAGATTCCAATCTACTTTCTTATTAAAACACTTTTTAGGACATAAATGCCATTCAAATATGTTTACAACTGACTTATGTGTATAACATTCCGTCAGCTGTAATTATTCAGTGCCCAGGCTAAAGGCAACTCATAGCAAGTACCGAGATTTATTAATTTATCAGTTTTATTGCTGGTATGCTTGCAGTCCTGCCAGATTACTGCAGACCTGATTACTGTGTATCTCAAGAGCTAAACAGACACTGGCTGAGTTCCAGCTTGGGTGGGAGTTCAGGAGGAAAGACACGCATGTTGTAGGAAGTGATGTTGGTACTCCACTAAGCAGCAGACTATGAGTCATTTTTCAGATGGCAACTGCAAAGTGTTCCACTGGATGCCATGCTCTGGAGGTGTGACTCGGGCAGAGATCTTTCAAATGAGAGGATTGCTAAAAGCAAGTAAATCAAGTGGTTATAAAATATTTTTTTAAAAATATTTGTTGCAATAAGATGCAAAATATTGCAGATAGTATTTATTTTAACAAGAAGAAGTTCAGAGAAGTGCTTTGGGTGATTTCTAGTCCAGTGATGATTATTTCTAGCTAAGCTTTCTTCTAAAGTTCAGTAGGAGGCAGTATTCTTTCTCTGGTGCCTAAACTCTTGAATCATATATTGCTGTGTGCAGTAGGACTGTATCCCACCCAAGTGCTACCTGGTTTTTCTACCATTGTATTCTTCCCAGTTATGCACTTCCCACAAGTATTAAGCCTTAGTGTTTATTACATGATTTGAGATGCTTGGCTGTGAGGTTCTGCAGAAATAAAATTTCTTTTATTTATACTAGTAGCATGGTAATTAATGCTATGAAAATAAATTTCAAATGGGAAGAAAAGCTTAATGAGATGCAGCAGTTCTGGTGTGAACAATGGTTACTAGACAAAGACTGCTCTTGTTGACTTAATGCTAGAACAAGGAGTTGGTAAAGAGTTTGGAATAATATAGGTTGGCATAATGTACTAACTTTTTTTTTTAGAAAAGCTTCACTTCTGATTCTGTAGGCATGAATTTTTAGTTTTAGCAGAATGCTCTCTTAGACTGCAGTACCTATGGAAGTAATGATTTCAGACTGAGCTGTCCTGCCCAGCTAGTCACAGTTAACTGTGTAGCAGGACCAGGAGCAAGGATTTCCTGATCTAAGCCTACAGAGTCAGTGGGAGGAGGCAGAGCTGCTCCCCAGACAGTACAGTTCCCAAGAGCCAAACAGCTTCTGGGAGGAAGGGAGCTCGCTAGACAGGTTTTGGCAGCTGAAGCTCCTCCTCTTCAGCCTTGATTGTGTGTGATACAAACAGGATTCTGTGTTCATCCCTCTGGTCTCCTCATTTTATTTGTCCTGGTCAGGTTTAACTTGTGGACTTCCTTCTTATTTGTCATAGTTAAAGGCCAAGCGTGTGTGGCAAATGGGGAGCTTCGCAGCAGGAGAAACGCTCCCTTTTCCAGAGCCGATTACTGAATTCACTGTAGTGTTCATTCACTGATAGGGAAACCAATGACTTCCCAATTGACCATGGGCATTCTTCGACACTTTAGCAAAAGCGACTGTTGCAGGCTAAATTTGAGTGACATATAGCTAGTGAAAAGCATATACAGCCTAACCACAAATTTCCGTGCATTCGCTACTGCGTGATGGAATAAGATCAGAGAGAAGAGCAAGATAAATCTTGGAAGAAGGAGATCCAAGGACAGAGATAAAAAGGACTCAGGCTGGAGAGCTGTGCTTCTCATAAGACAGAGGATTCATTTCATATGAACTTCTTCTCCTTCTCCCTCTTTCGCTACCTAGCAGAGTTCTAAAACGCTAGGCTGGGGATCCCTGCAGCCCAGGAGAGGCCATGCTTTCTTGTACAGGGGAGCTGTTGGGTAGCAGTGCTGCAATACTAGTCCCTGTCCATCATTTACTCCCTTAGTCTTCCCAATGCTCGTCTGCCTTGGCCTCACCTTCAAAGTGTCGCGTGTTGCCACAGAGGGAGTGAGCACAGCGCTGACGGTGGCGTGCCGCGCTCGCGCCCTTTTCAAACACCCACGTGCTTTGCTGCATAATTGCCTTCATGGCAACCCGCGAAGCGTTTTCTCTTTGTAGGGTGAGGATTTCAACTCTTGAATGACTCAGCAAAAGTTTATTCTTGCATACTACTGTACTATTGTTGAAATATAAAAAAAAAAAAAGCTAACATGAGAAATAGGTGAAATTCCTTCAGAGTATTTATACCTTTAAGTATACTGCACTCTAAATATTTTAGACGTTACTGGGTATTATAACATAATGTGAATATTAATTACAGGGTACTGTACTTATATGTGTCTATAGGTATCTGTGAGGGAAATAGTGACTTGTAGAATTTTGTTTACCAGATTAAACATCTTTCAACAGCTACTTTAGTATCAAGTAGATTTGATTTCTTCCAGAAATGAGAATAACTGCTTTTAAAATGGATTATCACTAGGTATGACAAATGGTAGCAGAATAAAAATGCTCCTTCACCCACCTTTTCCTACATTTATGTCTTCCCTTTTTGACTGCAGGATCAATAGCTCCTTGGTCTGTTGGTTCAAATAGTATTTCTGTCTTATTCAGATAACTCTGTGCCGCGACATATTATTTGTAAATTCTGTTGGCAAGCTATCGATGGGAAATGGAGGAGCTGCGTATCACAGGGAAATGGAGGAGCTGCATATCATAGAGTCCACAATAGATGAATACCAATTATTACCTCTTTTAGAGCTCAGATGAACAGAAAACTAGCTGCAGAATGAAAGATACTGCATTAATTAAATAACTGTGAGTGGGAGATTTTTAGTAGAAGTGTTATACTGAACTGGTTTATTTACTTAGAATTTATTAGGGAGTATTGTTTAGTACACAAAATTTGCATTAAAATCTGAAATCAGAAAGTTTGTATAAAAATAGTATCAAAATAAGTCAGAGGTTATATGAAGCATGCACACCTCTCTACCATATCCACTACCACAGTGAGAAGTTTATAGCAGAAATTGAGGTTTTATCAACTGCATTCAGGCTTTGTTGTTCTCTCACTGCATTGTATGGGCTGCTTAGAAAGAGGAAAAAAACAACAAGGATAGCAGAAATGTTTGCTTTGATTTTTAGATGCTTCCTTCACTTCTAAAATTTAATTCTGATTAATCAGATACATCTGTCTTTATTCTGTTGTGACATGCATTGATTTGTGATGCTGTCACTTTCAATAATGTGGAAACAGTTGCCTTTATTATAAGAACCAGCAGAAATCATGCAGACTAACTTCATTTTCAATCTTTAATTTTTTTCTTCATTATATATGGAGTGAGTTGCATGGATGATTTTAAAAACAAAGCTACAATTAAAACTAGATTAAATTTGAACGAAACCATAGTGGAGAAAACTTTCTAGTCGTAATGTATGTTTATACAATTCACTGATGTAGATTTTACAATACATTTTCAGAGCCATTTCTAAATTAAAACCATAGCTGGTAGAGAATTAATTAATTTACCCAGGATATATTGCATTTCTATGTGCCGTTATTACAATATACATATTCAGGCTCCAACTGGTTCTCTCTCTGTACATTTGTACTGTGTGCACCTCGCTTCATAATTGAAGATAGTAAAAAAATCATGGTACAATGACGCATTGTTTTCCATAACATTCGTATTTCACAGAAGTGAATCTGTATTACAAAATGTATATTTTTGTATGATATTACAGCATAGTAATTTAGATTAAACTAGTTATAATTTATGGTGCCAAGCCGAAAAGCTATTTAAGATGCATTAAAATGCAGAACCATGACATTTGAAATTCTGATGTTCTTAATATGACAAAGGTTATTC